GAACAGAATGTATATATTGCGATTGGACAGAAGGATTGACAATGTACTAAGTAGGCTAATTGTCAATGGTTGAGACTAGCTGTATATAATGTGAATGTATCGTCACTTCGACTTCGCGGTACTGCATTGTTTTAAATGTAAAAGTAATAAAAATTTACTGGAAAAAAAACTTGTGGGTGCTCCATCACTGGAGAATTTCAAAAAGAGATTAGACAACCATTTTTTCTGACATGATGCAGAGTCCCCTGGTCGAGCAGGAGGTTGGACTAGAAGATCTCTGAGGTTCCTTGCAACTCTTGTTATTCTGTGCTCTAAATATTAGATGCCAGATGTTGCTTAAGCAGAAAGATGCACGCTTGGGAATGGAAAGTTGGTCATGTGCACTCAGAAAATAAATACTGTTTTTGTTTTTGTTTTGGAATGGCTAAAAAACAACAACGAATGGAGCTTTTGTGGAGGTCATGAAGAGATTGTCATGAGTTTTAAGAACGCTCTGAGGCATTTCTTGAATCCGTTTAGAACAGTAATGTGCTCCCTCTAACGCTATCTGTCCTTGAATGCTGGAGAAGAATTGGCAGCCAGGAAGTGACTTAGAGCTCTTTGTAACTTCAAGGAGATATGTCAAAATAAAGGGCAAAAGGCTACTTAAATCTCCAGCCCGTTCTTTTCAGCTCAATTCATTTTTTTCTGCAGATTATTACCATTATCATTATTATTTCACCTCCAGCCTCTCCCCAGGTTAGGTTTGCAAAATGCAAGATGCCAATTTGCATATCACTCCTACTTAGAAAATGCACACCAGAGTTGATCATTTACCACTTAAACAAAAAAGGCAATATATTTCACAAGAATGGAAGCTCGAATTGAGATTTCTTGTATCGGCTGTGGTGCTAACAGTTCACAAAGGTGCTTTTTTCCAAAGGCACTGAGGCATCAGTTTTCCTTGAAGATGTTTTACTTCTCATCCAAGAAGCTTCTTCAGTTCTGACTGGATGGTGGGGAAGGAAAGGATTTAAATTCCTTGCAGAGAGCTGGTCATTTGCTTTCTTTTTAGAGAGCCATTGAGGCCACTTGGAGGTTTATCTGTGCCTTCAGGGTCACTGCAGTAGTGCAAATAAATGTGGAATACCTCCTCCTATTTAACCCACAACAACAACTTGTGAGGTCATTTGGGCTGAGAGAGAAATGGCTGATCTAAAGTCACCCAGCTATCTTTCATGGCTAAGGCGGGACTAGAACTCAACGTCTCCTGCGGATTGGTCCAGTCACCCAGCTGTCTTTCATGGCTAAGGCAGCATTGTCTTCGGGGGATTGGCCCAAAATCACACAGCTATCTTTTGTAGCTAAGGCGGGACTAGAGCCCATTGTCTGCGGGGGATTGGCCCAAAGTCACCCAGCTGTCTTTCATGGCTAAGGCAGCATTGTCTTCGGGGGATTGGCCCAAAATCACACAGCTATCTTTTGTAGCTAAGGCGGGACTAGAGGCCATTGTCTGCGGAGGATTGGCCCAAAGTCACCCAGCCAACTTTCATAGCTAAGACGGGACTAGAACTCACTGTCTCCTGGGAATTGGTCCAAAGTAACCCAGCTGTCTTTCATGGCTAAGGCGGGACTAGAACTCACCATCTCCTGGAGATTGGTCCAAAGTCACCCAGCTGTCTTTCATGGCTAAGGCGGGACTAGAACTCACCATCTCCTGGAGATTGGTCCAAAGTCACCCAGCTGTCTTTCATGGCTAAGGC